TTTGTAAACTAATTACACAAAATGACATGAAAATTATACTCAAGACAAAAACATAATCACTACTTGTTATGACTGGAAAAAATCTCGACTGAGCATACGGCTACTCCGTACTTCGTTGTTCAACTAAGAGGCTTCACAGTGCTGAACTTCATATTCATATCTTGACATTCACATCCACCTAGAGGCACTCCTTACTAATCCTATGCCAGAGCTGTTGCTAATAAAAAATTAATAATGGCAATTATCCATGAAGGTCCAGGGAGAAAAGCTAATCAAAGATGAATGCTATGCCAAAAAGTCCCAAAATAAGACAGCTAGTTCTATAAACTTCCTACAGGCACAAATATAGCAGAATGAGGCAGGAAGATGTCACAAACTTGTTGCAAATGAAGAAGAACAGTACGATGGAGAAAAGGAACATTGCTGCACAGAAGAATAAATGTATTTCAGTATCAGAATATTTTCTGAAAACATTAAGCCAAACTGAAAGATTTACTGTGATAGCAGCTGGGAGTAAGAGGAAGGGAGCAAAGACAGAAAGCAAGAGGCTAGCTGTCCATCTATATCCAACAACTGCACTCTTCTTTGCCAACACCATTTTTTGGTCTTATTGCTGTCCACTGAGATCAGAGTGATTGATATAAGTAAAAAGTGACAAGCTAAGAATAGGATTTTTAATTCAAGCTAGGACTATCAAGGGTAATACTAGTTTTAAACCAAAGACATCTGAATGATTTTGCATGGAAGTTTTTTTATTTTTTTTTTTAAACTCCTTATGTCAACAGATACTTCTCATCATCTGTCAGGAATGTCTAGTCAATCTGAGTTTACTTGAATGGAAAAACTCAACAACAAAAAAAATTTAAAAAGCAAACTCATCCCCCCACTTTGTTTTGATGCAACAGACACTAAAGGAATCACTTTTGTTGTTTCTGAGATTGAGAAAATAGCATAAACAGAAGCTCCATTCTTTTCATCCTAATAAAAAAACCCCTCCTATTCAGGAAAGGACTGAAGCACATACTCAAGTCTCCCTGAGCCACACAAGACGCAAGAGTGTATCTCACTAACACTGGCAGGCAGCGGGGCAAGAACAGACATCTGAGCAGCATGGAGAACTGCTCCTGAAGCTAGAAGCTGCAACGCCGGCTTAAATCGGTGCCAAGTGAGAGACAAGGCTCATCAGACCAGGTACCAGCACCATTACTACGGTAATACTGCTTTTGGAAGCACTCTAGTATCTGCTGTCTCCCTTAGATGACGCTATAGCTGTTTCTGCATCATGTTCCACTGCAGAAAACAAATTACATATATGAATGTATTGAGACCTGAATATATGGTTTAAGTTAAGCACCCGCTTAAGTGCTTTTCTTGGTGTAGCAGGTCTGCCAGTCCCAGGAAGGATCTTCAAAGATTGCTTAAAAATCTCATGTCAAATAGCAGAAGAACAAAACGTCACTCGTAAATACGGCCAAGTAACTAACACTTTTGCAGCAGACTGGCAGCCTAAGCAGCCTCTGTTACTTCCTACTACTTCAATCGGCATCTGTAACAGTACAGCACTTTTATCTGAACTTCTAAGATGGTTATCATGTGGACTGTAAGGCACAAAATGGCCTGGAGGAAAAAGATTATGCTCTTTGAATCCTGCTTTTGGGACGATAGAGAAAACTAGAGATAACAAGATGCAATGAGAACAATTATTTTGTGCGTCACTATAATTTTACATTAAACACAAGGTACTCATCACCACAGGATGACTCACAGTCTAATTGGAAAAGAAGTGACAGTTACTATCCATTTTTATTTTTTTTGTTTTAGTTTGGTTTTACATCTCGTGAGGCTTCCTTCCCTATAAAAGGCCACTCAAATAACGTGAACTGTTTTACATCAGTTAAGCTGCTCATTAAGTTGAAGGCAGGCACAGAGAAACACTTCTCCTTTTCCCTCCCTAGTGTCAAAACATGTATACAGCCACTTCAGAATCTATAAACTACATTCATCAATCTTGCCTATTTTTCTCCCAAGTGCTGACAAACTGTAATGAGGCAAGGCTCAGATCTCTTTAAAGACATCTGAAGTCATAATCAAAATGGTAAATGAGTAAGCCCGGGAACAGATGCCGCTCAGGAATCCCAAATCCTCCCTTCGGTTCCTCGGGCTAATGACGGGCAGCTGCCTGCCGCCCGCCGCCTCGGCCAGGAGAGCCGCCTGCATACGCACGCCGGCTTCAAGGCAGCGCTACCGCGTTCTGTTCGCTTGACCTCCCTGAGGTATATTTTAGGGTTTTTTTTTTTTTTTTTTTTGGACAGACGAGCCGAACAATGCATTGCTTCTAGGTTTGCTTCCCCACATTGGGATTGACACGGGAAATGGTCAGCAGCACCCAGCCCCGGCGCTGCTCCTGCCCGACCGCACCAGCACGCAGACCGACCTGGAACAAAACACCCTGCTCCCCGCTGCAGCAAAACCGGTCCTTGCGGATTTCTCCTCCCTTCTTTACCAACTCCCACATGGGGAGGTTTTGAAGTGATCCCTCTTTTCTTTATAGCCCACAATAGAGGAAGCTACGGCTCAGATGTGCTTTATAGGAGAAGAAAGGAAAGGCAAAATCTTCAGGGAAAATGTTCCTGCTGCTCAAAAATGATCAGAAGTAAGAAAACGGTGATGAGGAGACCTGGCTGTGAGGCAAAGAAAACAAAAATGAGGAGTGGAAGTCTCTTCTTAACAGCCTAAAGGAAGGAAAATCCTTATCCAGTGTACCATTTGACTGAACAGTCCATTGTCTTACGGTCTGAATAGCCTATTTATCATCAGCATTCAAGAAATATAAAAAGGAGGCAAACAAAAATAAATTGTTTTTTCTACGTCAACCTCATTTAATTACTGAAGAGCAGTTTGAATTGTTGATCTCTTAATGCTTTAGCTGGATTGGCAGCCAGTCTAGTCCAGTCAGGCTTGCCTGATTGCATGAGAAATAGAAAATAAAATTAGCATAGGCAAAGCTAAGGATAATCTAGGAAGTATTCAAAACAATGAATAGAGTTGGGTGACAGGTTGCTTTTGCTGGGAGTTTTTGATACCCTGCCTTGTTACAATGTGTGTGGGCTAGTAAATATTCAGCAGAAGTTTACCAGGATATTTTCAAGAGATTTACAGTCAGCTCAGTCATGTCTATATCACCACACTGACATGCCGTCTTTGCTTTTGCATATCTTACAAGAAACTGAATGTTAGATTATAGGCAAGAAACTAGATATTCATATATATGCAAGTCTATGCATACTCAGATGCATATGAGGAAAATAGCTCGCCTTGTCTCCTGGGAGAGTAATACCTAAAAGTCTAATTCCAGGCACTATCTCAACTAATCCTGCTGTTGGACAAAAAGTAGAGTTTTTCATCAAGAAAACTGGGTCAAAGCAAGCAAACAACTACTAATGCAGTCTTGGGTACTTGGGAATCTCCATGAAGGACAAAAAAAAAAAGAAAAAGAAAAAAGGAAGGAACGTACAGTAACAATTTTAATCAAATGCAAATAGACTTTTCTTTTCAAGGGATGACAACTTTGTAATGCAAGTTTTATATTGCCACTGAACTGGTAAGCCTAAGGGCACTACAACCACCCTGGTGCACTGCCTGGCTGTTCGGTTACTTCACTTCGTTGTCTCTTGCCCCCGTGCATTAGTTCTTGGAAGAGGAAAAAAAAGTGTGCTTGTTCACACTGTAAACAGTCACTTGCTGCAGCAATAAGCTTTATAATTTTATCTACATTTTTACCTAGAGCTACATCACATACAAAGAAGAATTACAAAACCAGACTGACAATTGACAAGATACTATAATGCTGCTGTGCAAGGCATCTCACCTGCCAAATCTACTTTTCCACTCCTCATCAGGTCACAGTAACATCTGCATTTGCCTTTTATTATCACAGCTTTTAGACTATGTCATGATATAACTGCCTAACTAAAAGGCACAGCTCTGTCAGCAAATGGCTGTGCATCATATAACGGGCTTCTGAGACGAGAACTGGAGAAACTCAAGGGCAAAGCGTTCAAGTGCTGTCAGATTTTTCTCTCACAGACTGATTCCTTCTTGCTTCTGATGCCTTGTGAATAATGAAGGCTTAGTCAATGCTTAACATTGCATCCGCAGGTGGTATTTTGACTGCGCTCACATAAACTTGCTTGTGTGCCAAGAGCCGTACAGCCAGGGCAGCACCAAGTTCAGGATCCCAGCTGGATTTGCAGTTTGCGCTGAAACCACAGACCCACAGCTAAACACTGTTACTGATCCTTAAACTAGCCAGTTTACTGCCTGATGGGACATGTTTACACTAGCTGTAGTCACATTTCATTACAGCACAGATAGAGTCTTTGACAGAAGTAGCTGGACAGTGTTACAAATAGCTGACATTTACACATTAACATGAAGGTATAACCATTTGACAGTAACTCTTCACAGCACTTGTATGCAGGAGGAACTACAGTCATTTCCTACTCTTAATAACATGACCTCATTTCCTCATTTTTATTATGTAGTATCGACGTCATTTATGTCAACTGAAATAAAGAAACAGCACCTTCCTTATGCTGTCCTTTACTATTTCTTGTATTTTCTATTCATAGAGAACAGAACAATCAGTGAACATTAAAAAAAAGCTTCACTAGCGTGACAGATACCAGACTCCAAATGGAAAATTACCAGGGTGGTGTCTGTAATACTAGTATTTCATCTTTAACTTCAAAATACAGCACTAAGATTAACAAAGAAGAAAGTAACCTCTTACCTTAGGGTCTCATTTTCTGCATACGAATG